TTTCCAACCGCAAAGATAAAAAACAAAAAAGGTAATTGCTACTTTTTATCTCACAGTTTGGACTATTTTTCATGCAATTGCAAGTTTATATTTCCTAATTCTGACTTTTCTTCTTAGAATTGCAAGGTTATATCTTAAATTCTGCATTTTTATATCTTGCTAATTCCAGGTTTATATCTCACAATTTTGACTTTTGTGCAATGAAAAAGTCGCAATTACCTTTTTTTTTTTTAATCCCATGCAGAAACAAGCTTCAAATAAAAACAAAGATTTCCCTAACACTACAAAGACCCTGTGGTGTTTTGAGCATCACAAGAGCAACATCAGCAGTATGTTTTTGGGACAGGACTATCTGGCCCTTGTCCAACTGCAGACGGGAAAGTGGAAAACCAGTTTGAAAACAGTCATTACCTTTGCTGCTAGTGGAAATGACACACTTCAGCATTAATCCTTTCACACATAAGTTCGAAATGTTTTAAGTGCCACGCTATAAAAAATGTGTCAGTGAACAGAGAGAGTTCAGGCAGATGAAATGCAGTGAAACTGGTTAAAGTAGCCCGTGTGTGAAAGACTGAACCTGTCACTAGCCAAGCATGACACCTTATCCTTTGCTTATGTCACTTATAGCACAAACTTAGAAATGACTCACTGAATTTTCAGCATCATTACTCCAGTCCTCAGTGTCACATGATCCTTCGCAAATCATTCTAATATGATGATTTACTGCTCAGGAAACATTTAGTATTATTATTATTAATGTTGAAAAGAATTCATATGTCCTTCCTGAACAAAAGTACACATTTTGTCAGACAAATACATATTATTTTAACACCATGTGAGCTGATGATAAAACTACAATTGAGAAAATCTGTCAAACCGTGTGCTGTTCCTTGCTCTGTGGGTGAAGTTTATTTTTAATAAGGTATGTTCATGTCAGTCTTATTTTCATATTGTTTAAGGTGCACTTCAGTGCAGACTGTTTTATGAATCTGTCACAACAGTAAATCTACATTACAGTTTGTTCATTTTTACATGCAAAATGTTGTTTAGGCCCTAAATATTGAAGACACAGGATATATATATATATATATATATATGTATATGTATATGAATATATACATATACATATATATGTATATACATAATGTGAGAGACGTTTTCCCGCATTTTCTCTCAGTGAGATGCAGAAACAGATGTCTGTATGTTAATGCACTGTGTGTGTATTGTCTGTCTCAGAAGTATCTGAATTTCTTTTATCCTTACATATATAATGAGATGTTTAATTCTAAGGGCCAGTGAGAGGGTGGAAAATAGTCATAAAAATACTTACATAATGGAACTCAGAAGACAAATAAGATTTTTGAGAAATATTATACTTCATTATATTTTACTTTACCTGTTAGTGATGTCTTGATTATTTAATGTATGTTTAAAACAATCTTTTATGAATCAAGTTATGGCAGCCACTGTGTAAATGATTGTATTTCAACGATAACTAGAAATTGTATAATTTAGAAGTTAATTTAAAAACGGCATTATGTGCAATTTTCATGTTTGCATGATTAGTTAAAAATAAATAGTAATTGAATTTTGGGCTCTGTTGTTAATTGTAACCTTATAGTAATGTAAAAGTGCTCCCTATAGTTAAAGGGTTAGTTCACCCAAAAATGAATATTAGCCCACAAATTACTCACCCTCAAGTCATCCTAGGTGTATATGACTTCCTTCTTTCTCAAAACGTAATAATCACTTTAATGTAACTTGCGCTCACTGATGTACACGGAAGCAGCTCCGGGCTGATGACGTATGATGTCGGCGTTGTGCATGCGCCGCTCAGAAGTGACGCACGTGGAAGAGCAAGGGAGAGATCAAAACAAAACAATAGTCACTTATTATTAGTACAAAACGAGGATTTGTAAAGAAGAATGTCGGAGGATTTTGATATAAGCCAAGAGGAGACTGGTTTTCCTTTGCTAAAGTAAGGAAACTTTGCTTCCTTTGCTCCTGTTAAAGGGGTCATAGAATGCCCATTTTCCTCAAGTTGATATGATTCTTTAGGGTCTTAATGGAAAGTCTGTAACATAGTTTGGTTAAAATTTCTCAGTGGTAGTGTAAAAAAAAATGTTTTTTTTTGATCTGAACACTTTTCAGATCAAGCCGTTTTTGTCATTTTCCTTTAAAAGGTAAATGAGATTTGCTGACCCTCAGCTGCTCTCAGAGAGACTGTTTACTTTAGCCGCATTCATCGTGATATGGGTATTTTTCTTACAAAAACACATTGATTCGTTTTAGTTTTTTTTATATTTTTACTTTTTTATATTTCAAGTTAATATTTCTAGTACTTTTAGTTTATTTATGTTTTTATTTAGCTTCAGTTTATTTTATTTATGTTTTGGATTTAGTCATTTTACTTAGTTAATCAGTTTTCATTTTAATTTACATTTACATTTAAATGTAGTCATTTAGCAGATGCTTTTATCCAAAGCGAATTACAAATGAGGATAATGGAAGCAATCAAAATCAACAAAAGAGCAATAATATACAAGTGCTATAACAAGTCTCAGTTAGCTTAACGCAGTATACGTAGCAAGGTTTTTTTTTTTTAAATCACAATAAAGCGACGTTCAGTTGCAGAACACAAGCTTCTAGAGGGCACATAAGTGACGTGACATGTGGCCAAGTATGGTGACCCATACTCGGAATTAGTGCTCTGCATTTATCCCA